AAAAACCAACATATGAAACTTGAAAAGATTATTGAGCTTCAGCCACCCCAGCTCACAGATCTTGGATGTAACATGGCTATACCTACGAAGGCCGAAAACAAAAACGACCACAACAATTTTGAATTTTCTGCAATCTGGTTTTTGTTATGGAGTCAAGACAAGGATAAAACAGTATAAAACAGTAAAGCAGCTTAGACATAACTAAACTTTCTACCAATTTCTTTCTAGTCTTGAAATTGAGAATAGAACGATTGGAGTATAGGAGTCTTAGGCTTGCATATGTAGCTTTAGATATATTACTGACGTGGTGATGAAATCTAAGATTTACGTCTAAAATAACACCTAGACTTTTTGCATGCGTGACGAGTGGAATATGGCCATTATTTACCCTCAAATCAATCATCCTTTCAAAATGCTCATAGCTGGTTTTGGGACAGAACAACACCGCAAAACTCTTGGTAGGATTGAGCTTCAAACAGTTAGCCTTGCAATAGTCAGTTATATTTACCAGATCTAAATTTATTTTATACGAAGCTTGATCCACATTAGTAGAGTCAAAAGTGAAGGTCAATTGTGTATCGTCTGCGTAAGTATGAATACTACAAAACTGTAATACAGTATGCAAGTCAAAAGTATAAACTAAATATAGTAAAGGACCAAGCACGGAACCCTGAGGAACACCAGAAGCAACATCGGCACTAAGAGAAACTCCTTGGCTTGTTCTTATTCGTTGCTTGCGATTATTTAAGTATGATTTAAAAAAGCAAAGAGGAACGTCAGATAGTCCGTAGTATTTTAATTTGGATAGAAGCATTTCGTGGTTAACCGTATCAAATGCCTTTGAGAAATCTAACAACACCAGCACAGTGTAAATATGATTGTCTAAGTTAGAGATAATCTCATCAGTTACGTGTAATAATGCAGATGTTGTGCTGTGACCACTACGGAAACCAGACTGACAATTTGGAAATATGTTGTACTCTTCAAAATATTTTACCAATTGCATATAAACAATTTTTTCCAATATCTTTGACAAGGCACACAATATACTAATGGGTCTCAAATCCGAATATTCTGTAGGATTATTATTCTTAGCCAGAGGAGTTATAACAGCCTCTTTCCACAAACTTGGAAATACTCCTTTTTCTAAACAAAAATTGACGATATGTGTTAGATGAGGTAACACTTCAGGAATACACAAATTGATCATTCCTATGTTAATTCCATCACAACCAGTTGCTTGAGATTTGATGGAAATTATAATATCTAAAACATCTTCTGGGGTAACTAAATGAAAGTGAAAGAGCGGAATGTCTGAATTAAAAGAACTTGAAATATATTCATCTACCGTACGATTTATAAGACGGGAATTAACATTATGCGATATAAAATTTGATAAAAAATAATTGTTAACTTCGTCAGGATTGAGCAAGTGTGGGGGAATTTCTGCCTTATTTTTTTGGTAAGCTCCAAAATTTCTTAAGTGGTTCCAAAATTTTTTAGGGTTTGACTTTTCGAAATGAGCTAAATATGCTTTTTTCTCTCTTTTAAGTGCAGCAAGTGCGTGATTACGCAAAATTCTGTAGTTGATCCAATTTTCTTCAGTTGAATCATGTCGAAATTTGAGTAAAGCTTCATCTCTTTCCTTGAAAATACGTTTCAAGGTTGGGGTTAACCAAGGCATTTTTCGTTATACGCGCTTTACGAATAGGTGCATGTGTATCGAAAAGAGCAATTAAACTTTCAGTGAAAAATAAAACCTTTTGATCGATATCATTAATATAAAAAATTTCATCCAATACATTAAGTCTTAAGTGTGCTTTGAACAAGACCATATCAATATTTATCAGGTCCCTATATTCAATAAATTTTGGTGCATTTCTAGGAGCAGGCATTGCTAATTCACAAAAAACTAATCTGTGATCAGATATTTGATCTGCTGCTAATGTCCCAGAGTTTAAAATAATATTTACATCATTCACAAAAATGGGATCTATCAATGTGGAACTGAACTGCGTAATTCTAGTGGGCTCGGTAATAATCTGAGCATAATTATATGAATCAAAACGTCTATTTAGAAGGTTCTCATGATTGAACAGATCAATATTTACATCACCCAAGAAAATAATATTGTCATACAACGGAGTAACAAAAGATAACAAATTGTCAAAATTATGTATGGCATCATTTAAATTCAAGTGAGGAGGGCGATAGGCAACCACAACCAAAAATGCAATGTTGTGAAGTTTGAACTTGCAGCATAAAATTTCCACAGAGCTATTAATAGCAACACCAATCTCTACTATTGAACAATTTAGGTTACGCTTCGCATATAGCCCAACACCACCTCCTCTGCTCACCCGATCCTTTCGTAAAAAATCATACCCTTCAATTGAAATTACATCGTTAGGTATACCGTCATATTTAGCCATGTTTCAGTCACTGCAGCGACATCAAAGTGATCTTTAATCATGTGTGTAAAATCATGGAAACCAGCTACTAGAGATCGTACATTTAAATGACAAATTTTCAATGAAATCGAATTAGCCATAGTTCACTTTTTGTCTGAGGTTGTCCATATAGTATTGGCGAGCTGCACATCCTCCGAAGTTTGAAGAGTGGTCCGTTGGTAGATTCTTCTTGTTAGTTTTGTTATAATTCATACAGTTAATACACTGCAAGACATTAGATTTACATTCCTTCAGAGAATGTTTTCTGGTACACCTGGGGCAAGTGAGCTCGGACTTGCATGTTTTATCAGTATGTCCATACCCACTGCACTTTGAACAACGGATTACACGTAAGTGATCATAAATTGGTGACTTCTTCCATCCAACAAACAAACTCTCTTTCTCCAGCAAAACTTTACGTAGTGAAGGGGTTACTTCAATTATGATGTGAGACGCATTTCCATATTTCAGATTAGTTACAAATTTTATATCCTTCTTTTCTGTGTCAGTAAAGCTATTCAATGAAGTGATACTAGAAATGATATCTTCGGGAGTGTTCAGTCCGTTTTTTCATCTCCCTTTCAATAAAACCACAATCCATATTGCACAACAACAACTAAATTCAGATCTCCAAAGTATTGATAGATTTGCAAAGCATCACAATTTTAAACTAAACCCCTCAAAATCGCAAGTAATGGTTATGAATAAAAACAGTAATGAAAGAGAACATTTTGAACAAAATTTAGTAATTTCTATTAACAATGACAGAATCCCCATGGTTCAGGAGACAAAAAATCTAGGCATTATATTTGAAAGCTCGCTTGGCTTCGGAAGTCATATAAAAAACAAATTTAGCTTACATGCGAAGAAATATAAACAAATTAAAAAAATATTTATTAGCCAAAAACACATATTATTTGTGTAATACCTTAATTTTATCACTTTTTGACTATGGAGATGTCATCTATGGTCATTCGCTATCGTTGCGAATCAAAAAATGCATACAAAAAGTTCAAAATAGTTGCATGAGATTTGCGTTTGGAATTCCATATCGAAACCATATCACTCCTTATCTGAATAACTACAACATATTAAACATGACGAATCACAGAAAATATCACATGTATTCTTTTATCTATAGGGTTATAAAAACAGGTCAATCGCCCTATTTAAGAGAAAGATTTGTGCCTTTTGTCTCGTGCCCAGAGGAGCAGAAATAATCTCAATTGTATCGTACCAAGGCATAGAACGCGTTCCTTCCGACGATCGTTTGCTTACGTGGCGGTTCACTTATGGAATAACTTCAGTTAAAAGCTCATCGTCAAAAACATTCTCAAAACTGACAAAAACGTTGTTACAGAATCACCAGCTACTTTAGCAGCGTTTGGGAGAGCAAAAATATCGTTTTTACATTCCTACTCGCTGACAAGTTGTATAAATTTGTTTTTCGCGTCCGTTGCCAGCTCCCGGGGGTTCTTCCTTCGTTTTTGCCTATTTGTGTTTAACCGCTTTTTCACTTGCCTCTTTCTTGATTTTTTTTTATTTTGTTTAAGGATTTTTAGGGTGCTCAGGGCTTTCTCGCATGGACTCTTTGAGAGACTGTCCTTTTTCGTCATTGCTCTATATTGTAGAATTTCCTTTGTTTATGATGTTTGTTCATGACCAAATAAATATTTTGAATTTGAATTTGTTCTTCCCTGGGCATCCTCTGGTATGATCAACATTTCCAAGTTATCGTTTTTTCATCTAGCTATATGTCCGAAAAATACTGAGGTTCGTCTCAAGCATATGATAGATTTATCATGATAGTGGATCCATTTATTCTGTATACTGTTCATCCAGTATGAAGCATCCGCATTCAGCAACAAATTTCGAACGCACTCATCCTGCATCTCCTAGAAGGATGTAAAATATCTGTAGTGGTTGAAGGTTGTTCTCTCCAGCCACTGTAGGTTTTCTACAAGGTTCTGTTTTGGTTCCAACACTACTTGCGAGTACAATTTATTATGACCTTTTTTTTGTTCGGCTTAACTGGAGGGATCAAAAGTAGCAGTGACTTTCGCTCTGATGAAGCATCATGAGATTATGACTATCTAGGGAAGCGATAATTTGATGTAATTTGGCGATCTAAGATGCAGTTGTATAATTTAACAAACCACATGTGCTTAAGGGAACGTTCATAGTAGAGATCCTTACTGTGATGTTTATTTCTCTATCTCGATGAGCGCTCCCTCGAAGTCACCGCGATGAATAACAAAGGCATTTGAAGATGCCTTCTACGCTGATATATTTTTTCGCGCTGTCAGAGGGAAGCATCGAGGTGAGCTAGGCTGTGATTGGTTCCTCCAAGGTCGTGCTCGTTTTGATAATGGTTTGAAATGGAGAACATCGTAGATGAGTCAGCTTGATCAAGCTACATTCATGTATGAACATCAAGGGAACTCGCGAGGAAGCGCTCATTGAAGTAGCGAAAAAAGCATCGTCCCTATGAACGTGCCCTAAGCTCAGATTAGAGAAGACCGTTAGATAAGACAAATTAATTACTTACAGCTCAATAGACAAATACAAAACTGCAGCTTATCCAGATGTAGCGGGCTGCATGCCTAGCTTAACTGGTGCTATGCGAATAACATCGAGCTTTCCTAATGAGGAAGTAGCAAAATTCAGTCTGAGTCAAAACAACAACTTCGTTGCCACAGGTATTGCGACTGGACACTGTAGCTAACGAAACATCTCTGTAACATGAGATTGAGTGGCACATCCTTGTGTAGATGTTGTGAAGAGGAGGATGAGACAATCAGGCCCGTCTTTTGCGACTGCACAGCCTTTCTGCTTTTAAGAAAGAACTGAAAAGTTATCTGTTGGAAAACTGTTTTTATGGTCTCTGAAAGTTTATGTAGTTTTTTCAGTCATTTCAGTCACCCTTCATCTTTTAGTCTTAGAAATCATTGTCCATCACTTGTGAAAACTTTGTTCGTCCAAATTTACTTTTGTTTGGTCATTTATGAGGATATTTATTTAGCAGTCTACGAAATATATTTTTCATCCAATAACGTTCTATATAACAATTTTGTGAATGCTCCTCGCGTCATGTAAACAAACTTATTCTCAAAATCTGTACGTTGTCACGTGGGTATTTAACTTTTAGAGCCATAGGTGGAATATTACACGACATAAAATGGTGCCGTAGGCGGAATATTACACGACATAAAATGGGCATACCAATTTTTGTGCGAAAACTTTTCATTCGACAACAAAGAATGAGAAAACGTGTTTTTAGAGATTCAATCGAAAGTGCTGGCAGTAACGGAAAAACTTCATATGAAATTTTTAGGTATTTATGAGACGTACAAAATGAGACCATACGTAAAAGGATCCGACTAATAGCAATAAAGTTATGGCCGAAAACCGAAGGAAACTGCAGGTTTTGGCACTTCTTGGTAATGCAACGATGGTTTCTCACAGATACTTGGAATTCTTAAAATTCATATTATTCGTATTTCTGAATAACTACAAAACAAAATTGGAGTATGTTGGTCGAGTAGTTTTTGAGAATTTCTAATTGTTTATCTCAAACCACCTGTTTTTCGGCCATCACTACTAGCTTATTGAGTAATATACAGGGTTAGTTTAAAAGGCAGTTTATAGCAAAATACACTAGTTTACCTTGCCGATATGAATCGCAAACCGTTCCGGAAGATAAATGTTATTTTATGCAAAGGATGGGTTACGTTTTTTCTTCTAAACAATTTCAAACCTTTCGTTTTTGTTAGTAATTTGCAACAAAAGACGATAGACACATAAGCTTTTTGTTTTAGAATCTGTATAGTAACGTATGTTTTTCGAATATTGTAGCGAATTTGTTCAATTAGTCACAAATATGAAATGTTTGAATTTGCTTAGAAGAAAAAAACATAACCTTTGTTTTTCGCATAAAAATAACATTATCTTTTGGAATCATTTTTGATTCATATTGGCAAGGTAAACACGTGTATTTTGCTATTAAATACTCTTTAAGCGAACCCTGTATGTTGCTTGATAAACTAGTAGTGTTGTCCGGAAGACAGGTGTTTTGAAATAAACTATTAGAAATTCTCAGAAAACTACTTGACCAATATACTTCAATTTTGTTGTTTTCACTAAGGGGTATCAATCCTGCAGATTTGATAAATTTTAAGTAGTTGCGTGAAATTATTGTCGCATTACCAACAAGTGCCGAAACCTACATTTTTCCTCGTTTTTCGGCCATAACATTTTTGCTATTAGTCGGATCTTTTCAAGGTGGTTTCATTCTGTAGGTCTCATAAATAGCTAAACGTTTTCTACGAAGAGTTCTTTGGTTCCTGTCAACACTTTCGATTGAATCCCAAAAACACGTTTTCTCCTTCTTTGTTGTCAAATAAAGGTTCTCCCACAAAAATTGATGTTCCCATTCCATGCGTTTATGTTCTAGATACCCCCTTGTACAACTTGCACTAATTAATTTGATTAGATTGATTAGACTATTTTCTTAGTAACTAAAGAGAAACGTTGGCTGGGAATTTTTTCTAACCTCAATCGTCGGTGTATCTGACATGGTTGCCAGTTACCTAGACAGCCCGTTCTAAAGACGATATCAAAGTAAGACGGCGTGAAGCGACATCTATCGCTAGAATCGACCAATCGAAACAGTGACCCGCAGCCAGCGGATTGGGACTTTATAGAGCTCAGTTCGCGAATGGAGACCCAGTCACCACGTGAATGCTGGATGGCGACGATTCTAGATGTGTAACAGATGTGGCCTACTTGCTCTTGAACATTTAGATGATTTTGTATGACTTTTTGATGAAACCACCAAAAATCGTGAAAAGAACTGAACTTATTTTAGATGAGTATAGTTGTAGCATTTTCTAAACATTTTATGTCAACTTGCAAACATCACCTCGGTACAAGCAAAATCACCTATGAGCAAGTCGCGTGGATCCGTAGCAGATTGCCGAGCCATCTAGGGACGAATTGCCAAACCAAGTACAGTCCGCTCATGGATACCTGTTTTCTCTTATAAACTGGTTGGTTTCTTTACTATAATGCAGGAGAAACTCAAGGTCAATTGAGCCGACTGGCGGATTATAAAGAGCTTCCATGTGTTCTCTTGATACAACAACTCCTTGACCCAAGTGCACACGTGGATTCGATAGATTGCGGGGCTTTGCCAGAAAGCCAGTCGTTTTGGCTAATTAAATCTTGGATTACCGAAGACCTGACCCAGCGCAAACACTTCGTGACTATTGCGGTAACTACTACGGAGAAGTTGGTATTTAATTTAATCTCGTCAGGAGATGTGCTACTATCTTCTATTCCGTCTATTCTGAATGCCGTATATCGAGATAATGGCTCTTCTGTTCATAATTATGCCATGAAAACGTACATTCCTGCATTGTACCGTGCTGCTCAAAAAGGACTTCCTCCGCTTTATTTCTTGAACTGGTCAAGATAACAAGCTGAAACGGAACGGAATAATGGAATTGATGCAGTGAAACTATATTTAGCCCGAAAGCAGCAGTCGAAAGTTTCAAGAATACGTCTGGCACCATCTTGATTTTTTTTTCCAATGGAACAGAAAATCGAACCACCACTTTTTAAAATACCAGAGTGACAGGCTGTCAAAGTTAAACGTTTCTGTATGATGCTCTCAGCATATTTTAGCGTGAAGGCAACCGTTGGAAATTTCAAGAATAGGACTGGGCGCCATCTTGGAACATTTTATTGAACGAAACAAAATCAAACTACTACCACCCTTTTACAATGTCGCAGTGGCAGGCTGTTATAGTTGAGCGTTTTTATACCATGCTCTCAT